TTGAATATTACATGTTAATAACTTGATTGGAATTATAACCTTGAGTTGACAGTTTGATACTTTGAAAATTTTGAGCCAGCCCTACCCCCAAGGGCTGTAGGGTGGGGCTCAAGGGAGTCAGTGTGCTAAAATTTCTTCATTTTCCTTGTTTAGAATCAGAGGTGCTAGTTTCAAATCCTTTTTAGTCTGAAATCTGTATGCTTGATATTGAATAAGGTGGTTTTATTGTTTTTTGTCACTTTGAATAATATTTCTGTTCATGTTAAAAACGAAATCAACTCTCTGTATAAATATATCAGGTGACCGTTTAGGCCCATGGGCCTCTTGTTATGGAGCTGTCAGAACATTTAGATGGGGCATTTTCTGGTATGGGAAGCATCCATCCCTCCATCCAAACTTTGGTTTCGGCAAGATAACTTGCTTAAATATCTTCAAATTTTCATGAAAATTGGTATGCATGTACATTATATGAAGACTATGACTACGTTTAAACTTGAGCAAAATCTGTGCATAATTAATTAGTATACTGGGCTCTGATTAGTTGTAGGTTTTTGCACAATAAATTTATTAAATATGACCGTATTCTGATAAAACATGGTTAGTATTTATATCATACAATGACAAATCTAAACATAAAGGTGAGCAAAAACCTGCACATAATGTTTAAAAGGGGAGACAATTCCTATGAAAATCAAATGTTTAAAGGTCATAAACCATATAGGAAATATCTATATAAATTCCTTTAGCTTAATAAGTTGGAACTTTAATAAGTAATACAGTACAAATTTTCTTTCTTCTCACATTTCAATAATTTCATACTTTTTGATACAATAACGAATCCGTAGGATTTTAAGTTTGCATTGGGAGGCACACATATGGTTCTGCCCTACGGTACTCCAGTTCATATTTATTACTAAATTTAGTACTCGATTAACATCTGGGGCCTGTTCGTTTATGCGGAACAACCGGTTTGACCGTTTGTAAATGTAGCAATTTCTGGTATAAATCCTGGCGGACCTGCAAATGTTTATGCAGGCCTTGCAAGGCTTTGTCTTGGCTCGCCTGAAAGCAGCATCAGATTACTAGGTCCGTCCTTATTTAATAAACGAACAACTGTGGTCCGACCGGTTTGACCGTTTAAACAAAAAACAGCCTTAATGTTGAAAAAGGATTGACTTTAAACTTTCAGTATGCTTACAATTTTAAGGCGTTACTTCACAATCAGATTATTTTCATCTCATCGGTGTCCTATGTTTGTATCCATGTTGTTGGCTTATGACTGACCTCTGTTTGACCTTAACCAGATGTGGAGAACTTAGAGAACTGGCATGGTAAGCCCCTTGGTAAGGAATCTGAAATTTCAAGGAAGACAATTTCCGATCTAATATCCAACCAAGGACCCCATGGCATCAACCCACCAACTCCCACTAATGTTGACGTTGTCGACATTTCCAACATCAAATTGTCGTCGCCTCCCAGCTATGAAAAGGGTGCAAAGGTAGGTAACTCTTCAGTTGCTGACCTGTACTCCTGGGATGACCAGGTGGACCGTAACATTCTAACCGGCAATACAATTTTGTTTACCTCTGGGATGACAGGGTAAATAGGATCACCAACTCCATAGGACAAACAGGGTAGATAACTCTCCAACCCAGTGTTGGCATCCTCCTGCTGAAATATTTCAACTTCTGCCATCTTTAAAAAAAAAAAAATGCAGTTTTCATGAAAGCTTAAATTTGGCTACAGGATTTTGCAGGTCATCTTGAATTTTCTCAATAAGATTTGCATTTTAGTAGCAAAGCTCTGTTAATCCCTTAATGATGCTGTTACAGAAGTTATCTTCTTGTCTTTACCAGGTGGCTACCAGACAAGCCTATGGAACCGCCCTGGTGAAACTTGGTCAAAGTAATAACAGGGTGGTTGCTATGGATGGTGACACCAAGAACTCCACATTTGCCATCAAGTTCAAGGTAAGTCTATCCAACACTCCCATCACCTGATATTCATGTTATTTATTCAACAAAAATGTGAAAAAACTCAACATATTGGAATAAATAAGATAAATCACAAGTCAAAAAAAATATTACAAACAGTAGATGTAACCACAAGTAACACAATTTTTGTTTCCTGGCTTTTTAACTTTTTGGTCTCGTCGCAACAAAGTAGCGGCAGCAAGACTAAGGTGATGCTATTCCGGCGGTGGCGTCAACATTAAGTTTATGTGATTAAGTTAGTTTCTCTGAAAGTATAAGTGCTAGACCAACCAAACTTGGAACATAGATGCATCTTAGGTAGTCGACTCAACCCATGCATCAAATGCTGGATGCGGCCTACCTTTCATGGTCCATTGACTTTGTCAGCATCTCCATCAACATTAAGTTCTTGCTTTTAAGTTAGAACCAGCCAAACGTGGACGAGTCAGGCACGCAACATATAAATTCAAATGTCGTCTACATTAAATTTATTTCACCAATATGTGAATTGATGGTCAAAGCAGGGAACAGGCGAGACATATCAATCCGAATGGCTTGCTACTTAATGAACTGCTAAAGTGGTGAGACCATTATTTCTATTTCCAGGAAGCATTCCCTGATCGGTTTATCGAGTGCTACATCGCAGAGCAGAACCTGGTAGGAGTTGGCATTGGGTGTGGTTGTCGTGACCGCACCGTGCCCTTCATCAGCACTTTCGCCTGCTTCCTGACACGAGCCTTCGACCAGATCAGGATGGGGGCCATATCACAAACCAACGCAAACTTTGTAGGCTCTCACTGTGGAGTGTCTATCGGAGAGGACGGTCCTTCTCAGATGGCTCTGGAGGATATAGCCATGTTCCGTTCAATCCCCGGGTCAACAGTGTTCTACCCAAGTGATGCCGTGTCATGTGAGAGGGCCATTGAGTTTGCGGCCAACACCAAGGGAGTTTGCTTTGTTAGAACCAGTCGCCCAACAACCAGCATGCTGTACGATGCCAACACTGACCTCCAGATCGGGAAGGCTCAGGTATTAATGTCTCTATCTACAATCCATCCAAATTCTTTGATAAGGGAACAAAAGAGACTGCAGTATTCTAAAATGATGAACGTTTTTTAATGCACATTAGGGCTATTAAATGTGTTGATGGAACTGATCTCATTTTGTATAATGTACAGCAAGACAAGTCACTCATGTTTTCCTTTTTAAGGATAAACTATTATCCATGAATGTTTATTCTTTGTTTCTTGATATTTTCCACTTTAAATAATAAACATTTCTCTCCCTGGAAATCAATATGAGAAGATACATCTTACAATTCATACCCAATGGGTCTGTTATAGACAAAAGGGAGCATTTGGCCCCAAGATTAAAGATTGCACATGCTCTGTGCTACGTATAATGTACTTGATCTCAATAAACGTGTAAAGAAATGTGTTTATTCAAATGGAGCTAATAGATTGATTAGTTTATCACGTGTGATGTTTCGATAACTAGTATAGTATGTCCTCTGTCACCATTATCAGACAAAATATAGAGGTCAATTGCAACAAACTCGGGATAAGTCGAGTTTTATTTATTAGGAAACATCTACCGGTTTTGCCTGAACAGTTGGCTTCCTCAGGACCATTTTAGGCAAAATTTGCCCCCTGAAGTACTGAAAGTCGGGGGGACGTTTGTATTGTTATCAGACAAAATGTACAGTATTGTTATTGCACTATGGTTTTTTTTGTGTTTCAAAAGTTACTCTGTACCCAGTAAATAAATCTGAAAAACTGGAAAACAATAAAGATAAGGAGATATACTTTTGAATTTTATTGTAGGTTGTTCGCCAGTCTGACAAGGACCAAGTGACTGTGATTGGCTGCTGTGTGACTCTTCACGAAGCACTGAAGGCCGCAGACAAGCTGGAAATAGATGGCGTCAACATCCGAGTGATTGACCCCTTCACCATCAAACCGCTGGATGAGATGACCATCCTAAACAATGCCAGGGCCACAGGTGGCCGTATCATTACTGTAGAGGACCATTATGCCTGGGGTGGGTAGTTCTTTTCACACATTCTGTGTAAAAATATTACAATTCTTAATTGAATTTATTTTGAAATTTAGAAGTATTACATTGTATTTCACTCATTACATAGAAGACAAGGGTGGCTTACCTGGTATAAATATCACATTTAAAAGTGGACTACTACGATGAAAAAGTTGCCGTGAGCGTGGCCAATCGGGGGTCCAGGATCTCCATGAGTGTGGTTTGGTCGAGGTGGGATCTCCCCTCGCTTGTTTTGAACGTGCACAAAATAAGCATAGCCAGGTTGTGGGCAATAAAAAGCAGGGCAAAGTCTTATTAAGAACGTAGTAGGAATGCCATTATCATACAAGCAGCGTGAAAGCATCGTGGTGAGATCATGCAGTCATAATAAAAAAGCATCACCGTCGGCAACTATTCCAAGCCATTTTAATTATGCTTTTACCATGCTCCCACTACACTCCCTCTATGCTCAACACGATCCTACCAAATCCTAGAAGCGTAACATGGTCAGCACCAGCGTCATTGTACAGTCTTCTAGATCTGTGTAACAACGTAGTATGGTCTCGTACGTCGTAGCAGCATGAGTAGAAACAACCGCTTGGTTGGCATTGGTCTAGGTGTAATCGTAGTGGCAGCGAGTCAGCAGCACTTTTGGCATAAAAGCATCGCAGTACAGTCGTTATGTAGTCTTAATTTCCCAATTTGCTGGATTTTGACGGCGATAATGCCCTGATTGGATAACTTTTCCAGATTAGCGATGATCGGGGTGATTGTCATGGTCTTCGTAAAGTCGCAGAGCTGTGTGAATGGGGTTTAAGGAGTTGGATATGTATAATTTACAAGTGTTTTTAAAGAAGACACCTGACTGTTATTGTACTGTTGTGTAATAACTGATTGTGTTGGTGTGTTTTAGGTGGACTTGGAGACGCCGTGTGTGCAGCAGTGGCTCCATTCAAGGACATTGAAGTACACAAACTGGCAGTGAAGGAGATTCCCCGCAGTGGTCCGAGCGCTGAGCTCCTAGAAAAGTACGGAATCAGTGCCAACTGTATCGTCAAGGAGGTTCAAAGGATCTTGCAGTAGCAAAACCAAGCCACCAACTGAGTTCCTAACATTGTATACAGCATATTATTGTTGGCAACTGTTTTAAATTGCAAAGTGACTTTTTCTAACATGTAAAATTCTTGATGTTATGCAGAAATATAATCTGTTGATCCTTGCATTTAACTGGAAAGTAGATTAGTAGCACACACATGTTGTAGCAAAATGTAGTTAAAATTATACTGAATCTATGAAGGTCAGATGAAACTATTTCTTCAACTTTATGAAATTTTGTGAGGTTTTTGTTGTTCTGAATTTAGGGTTTTATAATGATTGACATTCTCCTTCTTATTCTTGTAAAACCATCAGCTTGAGCTGATTATTGCACGTACGGGAAATACAAACATTTAACATATGAGTTTCTATTTGTGAGAATCCTTCTGCTACAGTAGTAGTCTATGTCTGCTTGCTTCCTTTGTCAAATTCCTGGATTGTAATTATTTGTGTTTAATTGTAAACATTTAAACAAAAATTTGTTACATTGATGAAATTGCAAACGATATGTTTTGTTCCTTGGAATACTGTGGTTTAAGAGAATGACATGTAAGGTTATTTCTCACAGAATGTGTGAACGAGATCTCTGTTTACATTAACAACTGTGAGTGTGGGGAAAAGGTCCTTTTTGCCCTCCATAGTGAGAGCGAATTTATCACGCCAGTGAAAGAAAAGTGCACAACATTCTATACATATTAATAACATTTGAAGGGTGAAATTAACACTTCGCAAAAACACATTCTACAAGTGAAGGGCTCAGTTTTCCCCGCATACATTATTGTGCATGGGACTTGGTGAGATCAACGGCTTGTCTATTTTCAATTGAAATAAAAGAGGAATCGTTGTCACAATCATCATAAATTTCCTTAAAAAAAATCATGTGTAAAAGGTCAGTCATCATGCCCATGTGAAAAATCAGTTGCATATATTTTTTTTCTTGGGTACATATTCTTTTTATAAAAACAGATTGTATGTAGTTTATGATATAGCAGTCATTGATGTATATTGCAATATGTTGATGGAGAAAGCTTGTGTGAGAGATACAAAAAAAGATTTTATCCCTGATGAACTTTGTATAGAGAGAAAAAAATTAATACAAGTTCAAACAGGAAGAAGAAGTAGAGGCATGTTATTGGTGCATTAATGGATTTGTTACAGAAAATATTCCATGATTACATTTACTTTGTTGTGTGAGCTTTTGAACCTTATTTGTCTGAAAACAGAATAATATAGTTTTATATACTAGTACCAGGTAGTACAAGTTACGTCTCTTTGTCAATATTTTCGGTAATCGGAGTTAATTATGTGGTAAATGATATTAGTTATCTGGTAAAACAGAAAAATATCCACTGTTGAATATTAAAAATTGTTTTGTCTCTTGTTTAAGGTGGCCTAAGGTTGACTATATTTGTTGTATGAGTGATGGTATCTCAGATGTTTTAGCCGAGGACTAATACCCAGGAATTCCTAACATGCTTATTAACCCTCCAAAGCCAAATTATAAAATATAGCTATAACGGCACGAAAACGTGTCTTCTTAAATAAATGTACTCTTTAAATTTTTCATAGACCCTGTGTTTTGTTGTTTATTTTGCGAAGTTTTGTTGTTGTGTTGCAAGAAAATGTTAGATGCCGACGGTTTAGATGAACCTTCGTTGCTACCTGTATACTAGTTACAATGCTGAATCTAATACAGGGCATGTGGAACAAGAACACTACACGGGTATATCATATGTGAACCCTTGATTTTTAGCTCACCTGCCCTAAGGACCATGGTGAGCTTATGCCATACCGCAGCGTCTGTCGTCCGTCCGGGGGGGGGTCAGGGGGGCAGGGCCCAATAGGGGGAATATAGCAAATTCTTTAAAATCCTTCTTCTTCTGTAGGAATGCATATCAATCTGTTGTAAACACTGCCATCCACTTCAATGGCCATCCACTATCAAGATCAGTGTTAACCTGTTTTAACTTTCACATACTGTACTCTCCGTTAACAATTAAGATATCATTGTCAAAGTACCTTTATCAATATAAATCCTTAAGTCACTCTGTTATCCATTGGGGTTTTTGTTGGCTTGTTCTGGGTTTTACCTCCAAGAAACAGCTAACACTGTTCACAGATGACCGGGCTAATGAAGTGCCATTTGGCTGAAATGTCATAAACTTCACTTTGGTCACATTACTTTGACAACTTCTGACACCACAGAAAAGACATAAAATGTAGAGATTCCATGGAAGCAGCAAGTCAAGTTTGGTTTCTGCAATTGACAAGACCAATCTCAAATGTACAGTGTTCGTACAGGACAAGGAGATTAGACACCGGGTTAGGCCTGTGCTACAAGTCGCCTCCTTCACCTTATCGCAGTCATTTAACAGAAGCAATTCCAATGAAATATTTCGCATTTAAGTTGTTTTCAATAATTGTCAAATCTCCTCGGAGGAGACCCTGGGTATATGAGAACGACATGTGATCCTGTTGTTACTTCAGTGGAGAGATATAGATATATAACGTTATGGGGAGGTAACTCCCCCCACGTTTGTGTATTATAAACTTGTTATTAACAATTCCTATTAAATGATAAAATGGCATATAAAGTGACACTGAATCCTCCACTGAACATGATTATTTTTCTGATATTGATTCTTTATTTTCCGCTTAAAACTTTATCCTTCTTCTGCAAACATGTATATTCCTTATTTAAACGTTTTTTGGGGAACAGACAAGAATGTTTCTTTAACGTCGCATATTAGCACTGTAGTGCTAGTCTTGCGACAAACAATGGATACAAATAAGAAATAACATGGATAAACAGCATGCAGGTGTAAACTCAAAGCTAGTTAAGAAATGGCAAGCAAATATCACCGGGTCATTTAACAAATAAAATCAATAAAGGTACAAAAGCAAAGCAGGACAGAAGTAATCACAGACAGGTAGCATTTAAAGTTGAATTTATAAACCGGAGGTAAATAGTGAATACCAGTATGTTACACAAGTATCACTTAACGAGGGTTAAAGCACTATGACAGTCATCCTCGATATCCACGGGTAACGCTCATTTTGCTCTCTACACTGTGTAGAGAGCGAAAGTGAGCATAACCCCTGGATATCGAGGAAGTATGACTGTAATATACATACATGCTAATATAGCAAAGTGTAAAATTTGACCGGATATACAGTGAATTATATAGTGTGAATTGAAATGGGGACAATGCTGTCAATTTTAACTAAAAAAACTGGGAGCTAGAAGCATTTAATTTAAAATATGCTGCGTGATATTTCAAGTTCAGATTATATACAATCATGAAGCACATGAAAGCATGACAGTAAAACAGATAGTAAAGTTACAGTACAAGGGAGAAAACTCCATAATGCATGATAACATTACCTCCCCTTATAGTTCTAGGTGAAAGGTAGGGTGTATAGCAGAAAGGTTTGGGTTTGTAGTGGCAAACTATAGCGAAATGGAGGGTGGAGTTTGCAGTAGAGAGAAGACAGAATTATGTAATGAAAACAAATATTTAGAAAATTCAACAAGACATCTGGGAATAGATTCTACATAAACACAGATCGCTGTCTCAAAAGACATCATTTTTCATGTAATGTTTTATTGTATTGCCTGTAGTAACTCTAAATTAAAAAGTGCCTTCTTAATTCTGAGGAAAACTCAACGTTTTTGAGACGTTTGGGTCGATAGTACAGCATGCTATTCATACCGACCTATTGAAATATGTGACCGATCTGTAACGAAACATCACTAGCCTAATGTGCGATATCGACACTGTGACCTGATAATTTGTTACAGTTATATTTGGACCTAAACTAAGGTGTTCACAGTAATTTTACATGTTTTAGGGGTTTAGATTGACTTTCGGTAAAAGTGATACCCCAATGATTATATATATATATAAACCTCTAAAACATGTAAAATTACTCTTTTTGAACACCTTAGTTTAGGTTTAGGTGTAACAAATTATCAGGTCCCTGTGATCTCACCCACCGTAGTACGGAACCTTCGTGCCGAGATATTCTTCAGCGTCAACACCACCTAGATACAAAAGAGGGTGCCAAACATACAGATATATTTACATTTGCGCTTCAATCCACTATATGAACATTACCAGCAGCAATCGGTCACCCTTCAAAGCGTCTTTAACCGACAAAAAGCGTCTTCAAGTGACAACAAGCGTCGCCAGACAAAATCTTAAAAAATACCAAATAAAGTAAGCGACATCAGAAGATATGTTGTTAATATGACTTTCATGTACCTATATACCGAATTTCAGCTAGATATTTGAAAAAAATGACCGAGTAATGAATTTAATTTTTACGATCGGCGGCGTGGCACACGTGTGTAAAGCAAACTATATCTCTAAAAATAATTTTAAAAGTAATCGACATCAGACGATACAAGATACAAGAAGCTTTATTTAATGTCGTATATGGCATAACATTGAACACTAGCGCTGTGGAGCTATTTTTACGACAAACATAAGTACAAAAACAGAGTAATAACAAGGTAAAAGGCATGCTAGTAGAAAAGGTAGGATTTTGCAGCATAACTATATACATTGAGCTACTAAAATAATCAGAAAACTGTTTGATGATAGCACATGCATGTTAAAAGCAGGAACAGTACTAATTATAACATGAGCATAAATCATAATCATAAAACATAAAAACATATCAGATTTTGCAAGCACATATTTCATATATATCACAGATGGTTAATTACGATACTTTATATTGGAAAATGATGGAATAAAATACTCAGATAAATTAAAGTAAGAAGCAAAATAAAAGCAAAAATCTCAAATAAAAAATGGGGGGTTAATAAGATGAAAGTCACGAACATATAGAACACTGGCAGAGGCCACCTTCCCAGGTGTGCAACAGCCTACAGAAAACCTTGTAGTTTTCTGCTTGTCTAATCTCATTTGGTAGGCTATTCCACACCTGGGCGGCTTCAAAACGAAAAAAAATCTTGCCATATGTGGTAGAATTTACTCTTGGTGTAGTCACAGTGTCACCTTTCCTAAAATTATATAAAACTTGGTTTTTGTTGATAAGACTCTTTAAGAATTCTGGAGCAATATTATTTAAAATCTTGTATACTTCCTTGGCCATGGTCTTCAGCCTACATATATGTAAAAAATCTAATTTATTTCTTACTAAAAGATCTTTAATAGAGGAGCTATAATCATTATCAATAAAACATAAAGCTCTTTCTTGTATATTTTCGATTTTTCTGGTATTTCTGATACTGCAAAAATGCCAGGAGAGAGGACAAAAATTAATATTAGATAAAATAAAAGATTTAAAAATGGTGACTTTGCCTTTTTTTGTTAGGTGATTTCCAATTCTCTTGAGTATACATAGTTGTTTGGAAGCCTTCCTACATAAGTTTGCTATATGATTTTCAAATTTTAGATCACTGTCAATTTCAACCCCAAGCAAAGTCACACTATCTGTACATGTAATTTGGTGATCTCCAATAGTGAAAGATGAAATTTGCTCTTTAGATTTCTTTCCTATGGAGATGGCCTGGATTTTTTCTGGGTTTGCCTGCATGCCATTTTTTATGAACCAGTTAATTAATAAATTACTTTCACTTTGTAACACATCACTAAGATCAAGAGCACTATCAGTGATATGAGACAAAGTGTTGTCATCAGCATAGTTAAAAAGAGAGACACGTTTTAAGACAGTAAAAATATCATTCATAAATACATTAAAAATAAGAGGCCCCACTATAGAGCCTTGGGGGACCCCCTTACTGAGCCACCCCCAGTCGCTGACCATGGGGCCAAGCCTGACCCGCTGCTGTCTGTCACTTTTTTCAGAGATTTTTATTATCACTCAGGCACACTATTGTGCGCAACAAGAGGTCATCATAAAGTACAATATAACAATGACGTGACATGTGAAAAAATCAGTCATACATTGCTAGTTTTTACGCAAGATTTAGTGTTTACATACAGATTGATTATAGCATTAAATATCTTTCCTGTGATATTATTTTTTAATAATTTCTTCCATAAACCTACTCTCCAAACAGTATCAAACGCTTTTCTGAAATCGATGAATGAACAGAATAGCTTTTTACTTTTTGAAAAGTATATAGATATTAAAGCATGAAGGATAAATATATTTTCAGTTGTAGAATAGCCTTTCCTAAAACCAGCTTGAACACTGGAAATTAGATCAATTTCTTCTGAAAGTCTATTTAATCTAGAGTTCAAAATAGCAGTAAATACTTTGCCAAGACATGAGACTAATGTAATAGCTCGATAGTTATCGAGATTTTTAGGGTCACCCTTCTTTTTGTATATGGGTTTTATTACTCCAATTGTCCATGCTTCTGGTACACGGCCAGAGTTCAATATAACATTAAAAAGTTTAACATATATAGGTAGTAGTATAGACTGTGTATTTTTGATATGCTCATTTAATATATTATCGATACCCGGCGCTTTATTATTACGAAGGTTAACTATAACCTGTCTAATTTCATTTTCAGTCACATCACTATTTAGTATAAAATCAAACATATTTTCATTCATATCTGGAATA